GGGATTATCTAGGTTTTGGAGTTTCAGGGGAGTTTATACCCGAGTTTCCAGGAAGAGTGTCCCGAGAGACTAGCAGGGAAGTGAGGCAGGCACGAGTGTTACAACCTTCCCCCTGAATTAATTCATCAGATTTAGAAAAATTCAGTTAGTAAAAGTAATGGTAATTATTAACGTCTCTTGTTAAGTAACTGTTAATTTAACGACAATTCAAAGTAAAGAGTCCACTCGTCGTCAAGTACAGACGAATCTCAGGATGAGAACAACAACAAGGTGGAAAATATGTACCGATCATCTTGTCTATTACTTCATGGAAATTATAAATTTAGAGTATCATTCAATATTATAATTAATAATCAACCTAACTCAAGTACCTATGTAATTTGTCATTAGTTTTGAAATAGGAATGTACTGATCATAATAAGTGACCAGTACAATGAGTTACCCTTGATAACTAGGCTTGTTAGTGAGGTTGGTCAACTAGCCCAGGTCAACTTCAGAGGTCAGAGTGAGTGTTAGATCAGTGTGAGGAGCGGACGTCTGAGGTCAACATCTATCCTCCAGAGGGCCAGGCTGAACATCTGGCATGACATAAAGTGATTACAAGTTGGTTCAGTTCCTTTTAAATTCATTAATCAGTGCCTCTACTTTAGCAAGAATTTCATTACGAATAAATTCAGCAGGGAGTGTTCATTTGTTCCATGATAATTATTTGTTTTAATAGATCTTGTTTAGAATTTATAGTATTTAGTGGAATTTCCCCAGTGTATATGTTATATTCTTTTATTTCGGTAAGGTTTATTCCCGCCCCTGATTATCGAATAGACTCCTGTGAACTGTACAGCATCCCTTATTCTATTCACTATAAGCCCTTTTGTTGAGTTAAACTACACGTTTATCGAGTTAAACTACACATTTAAAGTAAATCTCATCTCTCCTTTCGGATAATTGGTGATCCACATTCAGGGCTAATTGACAGTTTCCTGCTTCACCGTCAGTTAGGGGGATTTATCAGTAAAGGAATTAAGTCAGGTGGTGGCGGCGTTCTTTCTTTAAGTCTCTAGTGAATTGGCAGGTATTAAGGTTCAAGGTTCTCGTGTCGTGACAGGTAGGAGATCAAACGCTTCAGGTTCGAGGAGTTGGACTGAAGGTTACAGCAAGCCGGAACTCTGGTGAACACCATACATCACAGTACATAACGACCTGTTGTAGCTAAACAAGAGAAGATAAGCTAATTCAGATCTGGCCCTCGTTACTGGGTGGCTAAGGTCCTGGTTGACTGGTACTGGTACTGGGTGGCCAAGGTCCTGGTTGACTGGCACTGGGTGGCCAAGGTCCTGGTTGACTGGTACTGGCACTGGGTGGCCAAGGTCTTGGTTGACTGGTACTGGGTGGCCAAGGTCTTGGTTGACTGGTACTGGGTGGCCAAGGTCTGGTTGACTGGCACTGGGTGGCCAAGGTCTGGTTCTTGGTTGACTGGGGTGGCCAAGGTCCTGGTTGACTGGCACTGGGTGGCCAAGGTCTGGTTGACTGGTACTGGGTGGCTGGTGGCCAAGGTCTTGGTTGACTGGTACTGGGTGGGTGGCCAAGGTCTTGGTTGACTGGCTGGGTGGCCAAGGTCCTGGTTGACTGGTACTGGGTGGCCAAGGTCTTGGTTGACTGGTACTGGGTGGCCAAGGTCTTGGTTGACTGGTACTGGGTGGCCAAGGTCTTGGTTGACTGGCACTGGGTGGCCAAGGTCTTTGTTGACTGGTACTGGGTTATCTTGAGGTTATATCTTGAGATGATTTCGGGGCTTTAGTGTCCCCGCGGCCCGGTCCTCGACCAGGCCTCCACCCCCAGGAAGCCAGCTGACTAACTCCCAGGTACCTATTTACTGCTAGGTAACAGGGGCATTCAGGGTGAAAGAAACTTTTGCCCATTTGTTTCTGCTTCGTGCGGGAATCGAACCCGCGGCACAGAATTACGAATCCTGCGCGCTATCCACCAGGCTACGAGGCCCCACCTTGGGGCCTCGTAGCCTGGTGGACCTTGGCCCCTTGGGGGTGGCCAAGGTCCTTGTTTACTGGCACTGGGTGGCCAAGGTACTGGTTGACTGGCACTGGATGGCTAAGGTACTGGCACTGGGTGGCCAAGGTACTGGCACTGGGTGGGCCTGGTACTGGTTGTTATGCCAATAAAGACATTCAACATTGGCGTCAGTCGTCCTGTTCATAGTAATAAGTAAGATGAAGAGGTTCATGATCCTGGGGTCAGTTGCTCAAGACAGTCTACCAGCCTGAGGAAGCTTAGTGGCTGGCGTGACCAGACTTTCTCCCAGCTCTTTGTGAGCCTCGAGGTGTTGTGGAGTTGACAGTGGAGCTCAGCTCTACAAGTTGTAGTGCGACGAAGCTCTATACACAAGTAACAATGGGGTCAGGTTACCCCACAAGTAACAATGGGGTCAGGTTACCCCACAAGTAACAATTGGGTCAGGTTACCCCACAAGTAACAATGGGGTCAGGTTACGCCACAAGTAACAATGGGGTCAGGTTACCCCACAAGTAACAATGGGGTCAGGTTACCCCACAAGAAACAATGGGGTCAGGTTACCCCACAAGTAACAATGGGGTCAGGTTACCCCACAAGTAACAATGGGGTCAGGTTACCCCACAAGTAACAATGGGGTCAGGTTACCCCACAAGTAACAATGGGGTCAGGTTACCCCACAAGTAACAATGGGGTCAGGTTACCCCACAAGCAACAATGGGGTCAGGTTACCCCACAAGTAACAATGGGGTCAGGTTACCCCACAAGTAACAATGGGGTCAGCTTACATCACAAGCAACAATGGGGTCAGGTTACCCCACAAGTAACAATGGGGTCAGGTTACCCCACAAGTAACAATGGGGTCAGGTTACCTCACAAGTAACAATGGGGTCAGGTTACCCCACAAGTATCAATGGGGTCTGGTTACCCCACAAGTAACAATGGGGTCAAGTTACCCCACAAGTATCAATGGGGTCAGGTTACCCCACAAGTAACAATGGGGTCAGGTTACCTCACAAGTAACAATGGGGTCAGGTAACCCCACAAGCACCAATGGGGTCAGGTTACCTCACAAGTAACAATGGGGTCAGGTTACCCCACAAATAACAATGGGGTCAGGTTACCCCACAAGCAACAATGGGGTCAGGTTACCCCACAAGTAACAATGGGGTCAGGTTACCCCACAAGTAACAATGGGGTCAGCTTACCTCACAAGCAACAATGGGGTCAGGTTACCCCACAAGTAACAATGGGGTCAGGTTACCCCACAAGTAACAATGGGGTCAGGTTACCTCACAAGTAACAATGGGGTCAGGTTACCCCACAAGTATCAATGGGGTCTGGTTACCCCACAAGTAACAATGGGGTCAGGTTACCCCACAAGTATCAATGGGGTCAGGTTACCCCACAAGTAACAATGGGGTCAGGTTACCTCACAAGTAACAATGGGGTCAGGTTACCCCACAAGTATCAATGGGGTCTGGTTACCCCACAAGTAACAATTGGGTCAGGTTACCCCACAAGTAACAATGGGGTCTGGTTACCCCACAAGTAACAATGGGGTCTGGTTACCCCACAAGTAACAATGGGGTCAGGTTACCCCACAAGTAACAATGGGGTCTGGTTACCCCACAAGTAACAATGGGGTCTGGTTACCCCACAAGTAACAATGGGGTCAGGTTACCCCACAAGTAACAATGGGGTCAGGTTACCCCACAAGTAACAATGGGGTCAGGTTACCCCACAAGCAACAATGGGGTCAGGTTACCTCACAAGTAACAATGGGGTCAGGTTACCCCACAAGCAACAATGGGGTCAGGTTACCTCACAGGTAACAATGGGGTCAGGTTACCCCAGAAGTAACAATGGGGTCAGGTTACCCCACAAGTAACAATGGGGTCAGGTTACCCCACAAGTAACAATGGGGTCAGGTTACCCCACAAGCAACAATGGGGTCAGGTTACCCCACAAGCAACAATGGGGTCAGGTTACCTCACAAGCAACAATGGGGTCAGGTTACCCCACAAGTAACAATGGGGTCAGGTTACCCCACAAGCAACAATGGGGTCAGGTTACCTCACAAGTAACAATGGGGTCAGGTTACCCCACAAGTAACAATGGGGTCAGGTTACCCCACAAGCAACAATGGGGTCAGGTTACCTCACAAGTAACAATGGGGTCAGGTTACCCCACAAGCAACAATGGGGTCAGGTTTCCTCACAAGTAACAATGGGGTCAGGTTACCCCACAAGTAACAATGGGGTCAGGTTACCCCACAAGCAACAATGGGGTCAGGTTACCCCACAAGTAACAATGGGGTCAGGTTACCCCACAAGCAACAATGGGGTCAGGTTACCTCACAAGCAACAATGGGGTCAGGTTACCGCACAAGTAGCAATCTGAGGTCTCACCCCTCACTGTAACTCTCTGTTTCCTATTGCTTAGGTATTCCCTTATCCTCTGGAACACCTTACCAGTTATTCCTGCGTGTTTCACCAACTTATGCACCAACCTCTTATGGGGAACTATGTCAAAGGCTTTCCGACAGTCCAAAAAAATGCAGTCTGCCCACTCCTCTTTTTCTTACTTAATCTTTGTCACCTGGTCATTGAATTCTAATAAGCCTGCGAGGCAAGATTTACCCTCCCTGAACCCATGTTGATGGGTTGTCACGAAGTCCCTTCTCTCCAGATGTGCTACTAAGTTTTCCCCTCACGATCTTCTCCATCACCTTGCATGGTATACAAGTTAAGGACACTGGCCTGTAGTTCAGTGCCTCTTGTCTGTCAACGGTTGTGTATAATGGGACTACATTAGCCGTCTTCCATATTTCTGGCAAGTCTCCTGTTTCCAGTGACTTATCGCACACCAAGGAGAGTGGCAAGCAAACTACTTATAAACGCTTGTCGTTGTTACACTGCAGACAAAAGCTGTGTTCTTGTGAATGTTTGTCATTGTTACAGTGGGGCTTGTGTTCACGTCCCCTTGTGTGGCGAGGAGGCCTCAAGCCTTAATCTGGGGCGGACCTGCAGATTGAACTCACACAATAACCAAAGTTGTCTCACCGGCCCAAAAATGTAACAATGGAGGAGGTCCTTGAGGAGGGCGCCTGGAGAAGGTCCTTGAGGAGGGCGCCTGGAGGAGGAGGTCCTTGAGGAGGGCGCCTGGAGGAGGTCCTTGAGGAGGGCGCCTGGAGGAGGAGGTCCTTGAGGAGGGCGCCTGGAGGAGGTCCTTGAGGAGGGCGCCTGGAGGAGGTCCTTGAGGAGGGCGCCTGGAGGAGGTCCTTGAGGAGGGCGCCTGGAGAAGGTCCTTGAGGAGGGCGCCTGGAGGAGGAGGTCCTTGAGGAAGGCGCCTGGAGGAGGTCCTTGAGGAGGGCGCCTGGAGGAGGAGGTCCTTGAGGAGGGCGCCTGGAGGAGGTCCTTGAGGAGGGCGCCTGGAGGAGGTCCTTGAGGAGGGCGCCTGGAGGAGGTCCTTGAGGAGGGCGCCTGGAGAAGGTCCTTGAGGAGGGCGCCTGGAGGAGGAGGTCCTCGAGGAGGGCGCCTAGAGGAGGTCCTTGAGGAGGGCGCCTGGAGGAGGTCCTTGAGGAAGGCGCCTGGAGGAGGTCCTTGAGGAGGGCGCCTGGAGGAGGTCCTTGAGGAGGGCGGCTGGAGGAGGTCCTCGAGGAGGGCGCCTGGAGGAGGTCCTCGAGGAGGGCTGGCAAGGCTTAGGGGCATGAAGCACATTACTGGGGGGAAGACAATGTTAAAATATTAAAACGACAATTTTTGACTTGTAAGAGCAGTTTACCTTATGCTGGTGCGTTGGTGTATATTGGTATATGTTGTCTTCTACAACACCAAAGTTATCTTTACGTCTTCTGCAGCACCAAAGTTATCTTTACGTCTTCTGCAGCACCAAAGTTATCTTTACGTCTTCTGCAGCACCAAAGTTATCTTTACGTCTTCTGCAGCACCAAAGTTATCTTTACGTCTTCTGCAGCACCAAAGTTATCTTTACGTCTTCTGCAGCACCAAAGTTATCTTTACGTCTTCTACAACACCAAAGTTATCTTTACGTCTTCTGCGGCACCAAAGTTATCTTTACGTCTTCTACAACACCAAAGTTATCTAGACATGAACAGCAATATGGCAGTTATCAAGACTTCTTGAGCAGCACCACAGTTATCTAGATGTCCTCAGCAGCATCACCAAAGGTGTCTAGACATCAGCAGCATCACCAAAGGTGTCTAGACATCAGCAGCATCACCAAAGGTGTCTAGACATCAGCAGCATCACCAAAGGTGTCTAGACATCAGCAGCATCACCAAAGGTGTCTAGACATCAGCAGCATCACCAAAGGTGTCTAGACATCAGCAGCATCACATTCGAACAGGCGAGGACAGGTATACAGAGAATGACAGAGAGGTGCGTGAAGAACTCAACAAGAGGTTCCAGGAGGTCTTCACAATAGAACAAGGTGAGGTCACTGTGCTAGGAGAAAGGGAGGTAAACCAGGCGGCCTTGGAAGAGTTCGAAATTACGAGAGAGGAGGTCAAGAGACACCTGCTGGATCTGGATGTTAGAAAGGCTGTTAGTCCAGATGGGATCTCACCATGGGTACTGAAAGAGTGTGCACAGGCACTTTGCTTGCCACTCTTCATAGTGTATAGTAAGTCACTGGAGACGGGAGACCTACCAGAAATATGGAAGACGGCGAATGTGGTCCCAATATACAAAAAGGGCGACAGGCAAGAGGCACTGAACTACAGGCCAGTGTCCTTGACTTGTATACCATGCAAGGTGATGGGGAAGATCGTGAGAAAAAACCTGGTAACACATCTGGAGAGAAGGGACTTCGTGACAAATCGCCAACATGGGTTCAGGGAGGGTAAATCTTGCCTTACAGGCTTGATAGAATTCTATGACCAGGTAACACAGATTAAGCAAGAAAGAGAGGGCTGGGCAGACTGCATTTTCTTGGATTGTCGGAAAGCCTTTGACACAGTACTGCATAAGAGGCTGGTACATAAGCTGGAGAGACAGGCAGGTGTATCTGGTAAGGTGCTCCAGTGGATAAGGGAGTACCTAAGCAATAGGAAGCAGAGAGTTACGGTGAGTAGTGAGACCTCCGATTGGCGTGAAGTCACCAGTGGAGTCCCACAGGGCTCTGTACTCGATCCTATCTTGTTTCTGATATATGTAAATGATCTCCCGGAGGGTATAGACTCATTTCTATCAATGTTTGCGGACTATGCCAAAATTATGAGAAGGATTAAGACAGAAGAGGACTGTTTGAGGCTTCAAGTAGACCTAGACAAACGGCAGGAATGGTCGAACAAGTGGTTGTTAGAGTTTAACCCAACCAAATGTAATAAAATGAAGATAGGTGCAGGGAGCAGGAGGCCAAATACAAGGTATTATCTGGGAGATGAAATTCTTCAGGAGTCAGAGAAAGATTTGGTAGTTGATATCACGCCAGTCCTGTCTCCTGCAGCACATATCAAGAGGATAACATCAGCGGCATATGCCAGGCTGGCCAACATACGAACGGCATTCAGAAATTTGTGTAAAGAATCATTCAGAACTTTGTATACCACATATGTCAGGCCAATCCTGGAGTATGCAGCCCCAGCATGGAGTCCATATCTAGTCAAGGATAAGACTAAACTGGAAAAGGTTCAAAGATTTGACACCAGACTAGTACCCGAGCTGAGAGGTATGAGCTACGAGGAGAGACTACGGGAATTAAACCTCACTTCGCTGGAAGAGAGAAGAGTTAGGGGGGACATGATCACCACATTCAAGATTCTCAAGGGAATTGATAGGGTAGATAAAGACAGGCTATTTAACACAAGGGGCACACGCACAAGGGGACACAGGTGGAAACTGAGCGCCCAAATGAGCCACAGAGATATTAGAAAGAACTTTTTTAGTGTCAGAGTGGTTGACAAATGGAATGCATTAGGAAGTGATGTGGTGGAGGCTGACTCCATACACAGTTTCAAAGGTAGATATGATAGAGCCCAATAGGCTCAGGAATCTGTACACCTGTTGATTGACGGTTAGGAGGCGGGACCAAAGAGCCAGAGTTCAACCCCCGCAAGCACTACTAGGTGAGTACAACTAGGTGAGTACACACCCTGGCATCACCACACGCACACACACACACACCCTGGCATCACCACACACACACACACACACACACACACTCACACACACCCTCGCATCACCACACACACCCTCGCATCACCACACACACACACCCTCGCCTCACCACACACACCCTCGCATCACCACACACACACCCTCGCATCACCACACACACACCCTCGCATCACCACACACACACCCTCGCATCACCACACACACACACCCTGGCATCACCACACACACACACACCCTCGCATCACCACACACACACCCTCACATCACCACACACACACACCCTGGCATCACCACACACACACCCTCGCATCACCACACACACACCCTGGCATCACCACACACACACCCTCGCATCACCACACACACACCCTCGCATCACCACACACACACCCTCGCATCACCACACACACACCCTCGCATCACCACACACACACCCTGGCATCACCACACACACACCCTCGCATCACCACACACACACACCCTCGCATCACCACACACACACACCCTCGCATCACCACACACACACCCTCGCATCACCACACACACCCTCGCATCACCACACACACCCTCGCATCACCACACACACACACCCTCGCATCACCACACACACACCCTCGCATCACCACACACACACCCTCGCATCACCACACACACACCCTCGCATCACCACACACACACCCTCGAATCACCACACACACCCTCGAATCACCACACACACCCTCGAATCACCACACACACACCCTCGCATCACCACACACACCCTCGCATCACCACACACACACCCTCGCATCACCACACACACACACCCTCGAATCACCACACACACCCTCGAATCACCACACACACCCTCGAATCACCACACACACACCCTCGCATCACCACACACACACCCTCGCATCACCACACACACACCCTCGCATCACCACACACACACCCTCGCATCACCACACACACACACCCTCGCATCACCACACACACACCCTCGCATCACCACACACACACCCTCGCATCACCACACACACCCTCGAATCACCACACACACACCCTCGCATCACCACACACACACCCTCGCATCACCACACACACACCCTCGCATCACCACACACACACACCCTCGCATCACCACACACACACCCTCGCATCACCACACACACACCCTGGCATCACCACACACACACCCTCGCATCACCACACACACCCTCGCATCACCACACACACCCTCGCATCACCACACACACACCCTCGAATCACCACACACACACCCTCGCATCACCACACACACACCCTCGCATCACCACACACACCCTCGCATCACCACACACACACCCTCGCATCACCACACACACACACACTCGAATCACCACACACACCCTCGAATCACCACACACACCCTCGAATCACCACACACACACCCTCGCATCACCACACACACCCTCGCATCACCACACACACACCCCTCGCATCACCACACACACACCCTCGCATCACCACACACACACACACTCGAATCACCACACACACCCTCGAATCACCACACACACCCTCGAATCACCACACACACCCTCGAATCACCACACACACACCCTCGCATCACCACACACACACCCTCGCATCACCACACACACACCCTCGAATCACCACACACACCCTCGAATCACCACACACACACCCTCGCATCACCACACACACCCTCGCATCACCACACACACACCCTCGCATCACCACACACACCCTCGAATCACCACACACACACCCTCGCATCACCACACACACACCCTCGCATCACCACACACACACCCTCGCATCACCACACACACACACCCTCGAATCACCACACACACCCTCGCATCACCACACACACACACCCTCGAATCACCACACACACACACCCTCGCATCACCACACACACACCCTCGCATCACCACACACACACCCTCGCATCACCACACACACACCCTCGAATCACCACACACACCCTCGCATCACCACACACACACACACCCTCACATCACCACACACACACACCCTCGAATCACCACACACACCCTCGAATCACCACACACACCCTCGCATCACCACACACACACACCCTCGAATCACCACACACACCCTCGAATCACCACACACACCCTCCCATCACCACACACACACACACCCTCACATCACCACACACACACACCCTCTCATCACCACACACACACACACACCCTCGCATCACCACACACACACCCTCGCATCACCACACACACCCCCTCGCATCACCACACACACACCCTCGCATCACCACACACACCCTGGCATCACCACACACACTCTCGCATCACTACACACACCTTCGCATCACTACACACACCCTCGCATCACCACACACACACCCTGGCTTCACCACACACACTCTCGCATCACTACACACACCCTCGAATCACCACACACACCCTCGCATCACCACACACACACACCCTCGCATCACCACACACACACCCTCGCATCACCACACACATACCCACGCATCACCACACTCACCCTCGCATCACCACACTCACCCTCGCATCACCACACTCACCCTCGCATCACCACAC